AATACACAATATAAAAAAATACACACACGTGTGTGTATTTTTTTTCTACATAATTATGTGGACTTTTGTTTATAGTTTAGTCCTCCTTATAGCAGTCATTCTCTCAGTCTCTACCAGTGACTCAACACAAATGCATTTACTCTGAAAGCATATGGGTTTAATATCAATGTTTGGGCTTCTGGCTTCTTGATTCTTTCATGCCTAGAATTCTGGGTGGTGTTTAATAACTTTTCTCTGTCAATCTGTTTTACCAAGTTTTACTGTATGTCAACTGAAAACATGCTTTTTGTTTGCATGAAATCTTATATGCTGAGATACTCACTGAGTGTCTGCATGCAGTGTACTAAAATCACTTCTATTCTCACAACACATTTTTCTAAAAATCTTTAAGAAATCTTTAAAATAAAGTAAATTATCTTAAATATTTACCTAAATTAATAGTCAATAAAAGTTTGATGAAAAATGTTCTCTGTCCACAGGTGAAAAATATCACTTTACAAAAAAAAAAAAAAAAAAAATCACACACACCTGATCTTTGGACCATTCTTATACACACCTCAAAAGAGAAAAAGACAAATGCAGCTCAAATAACATAAAAGAAGTGATGACCTGCCATTCTGCTTTCCTGTGGGACTTGTGGGAAACCACCATGTGGAAGTGAAAAAAGAGGAGATTTTAAGTGGAAACACATCCTCATGTTCTTAAGATCATGCCGGCTTAAGCCAAACATTAGACAGACCTGCTTGAATCTTCCAAAACTAAAAATATGTTTAAACTATGTTGTCTTTATATAAGAATGACAGTTTATTCATATTATACTATAAAGAGCCCTGATCATTTATTTAATTATAAATAGCCTACCTAAAATACTGTTGAAAAATACAGCAAAAAAGTTATTATTTTTCCAGATTTCCCCTGTGACATTAGATTTTTATTTGGAATAGTGAGTGTGCCATTGACATCATAAAAATATGGTTAATATGAAAAACACTTTATATAACAAGTGGGTAGTTTGGCGTGGCTAATGGTTTTGTATATTGACTTAGCTAAAACATTAATTAGGGAAGATGCAGGGAAGATTCTTTTAAAAGTCCAATCATCTTTGAGTTGTCTGGGTTTATGGAAACACATGGAATATTTTGTTCCACTCGCTACATTTTAGAAGTGGTATGCATATTTCATATCTGGAAGGCTTTCAGAATTAAGCGGCCATTCATTGTTCCTGTCAGAGAAGTATTTTTCAACAATACTTACAGCAACTGTAACCAGGCACATATGTCTATTTTCTCCATAGAGGTCCGATTACAAGCACATGTTGTTTTTGCTGAGTACCTTACAGTGTGTGTTCTCTGTGGTGTTCTTTTCTGGGTGAAAGTTCTGTTTTCTTTTGTCTGGCAGGCACAGTAATGTCTGTTTCCATGTCTGACATCATTTTCAAAGTGAAGATTCTTGGAAACATTATTCCTTGTATAGTCCCTAAACGCTCCATAGCAACAGTGCCACCCAGAGACATCTAATCACCCTGAGTATATGTGGCTCCCTTTCGAGAACATCCACTTCGTATTGCGTAGCTATGCGCAGTGGGAAAACTCCTTTTCTCGAGAATACTGAAGCCATTATTTTAAAACGCAGTGCAGCTGCACAGCGAGCACAGAGCAGAGCGTCAAGCTCGCTCATTGGCTGTGCTGCGGCAACTGCACAAACCTATGGCGAGGCGGCTGAGACGCGCAAACCAATCGGGTCACTTCGCGCCCAGGGCACGTCAGAACCCGCCAGAATGGGCGTGGCTTATGCCTATATAAGCAGACCATTTCGCCAAAGAATCAGATTTAATCTCCTTCAGTGAACACCTTCTTCACTGACCTCCGAGCCTTCGCCATAGATGAGCCTCTGTAGCGGCATTAGCGACCTCATCAGCGGACACGGCACCTTCAACTCGGCGCCGCCTTCCCCTGAATCGCCGCTAACCTGCGGCCATCAGGCGAAAGAAGCCTTATATCCTTTCTGCTTACTTCTGTGTTTTCGCCGTCACAACACTCTAGAAGCTTAAAAAGAAAGAGCAAATTTTCAACTATCGGCGTTGTTGCAAATGCCGCGTTCCGGATGTGCTTCATGCAGAGCCCGAGGAGGAAAGTGGTTTGAACAGATGCCTCCAACCTCGGTTGGGGGGCACTGTGCGAGGGCAGGCCAATCTCTGGCCTCTGGTCGAGCCCGGAGAAGCGCCTACATATCAACTGCCTCGAAATGAGAGCGGTTCATTTAGCCCTGAAAACCTTCCCTCCAGATCTGGCGGGACACCACGTCCTGGTCCGTACGGTCAACATGTCAGTGGTGTCCTATATAAATCGCCAGGGCGGCCTCAGATCGGCCAGCCAGGACGCCTGGAAACCCAGAGCTGGCGGAGCTGCTGAGTGCAGCTCCCTCGCACATACCGCTGAGGAAGAACCTCCTCACGCAGGCGAATGGGACAATCTGGCACCTCCGCCCAGATCTGTGGGCCCTACATGTATGGCCCCTCAATGGGTACCCAGGGACATCCCAGAAGGAGTCCAGAATACCATGATTGAAGCTAGAGCACCGTCTACCAGACGCCTCTATGCTCTCAATTGGTCGGCGTTCGCAAGCTGGTGTGCAGCGCGAGACGTAGACCCGCACGTGTGTGAAGTACCTCTAGTACTTTCCTTTCTTCAGGAGCTGCTGGATGCGGGCAGGACCCCCTCCATGCTCAAAGTATTTGTGGCGGCCATAGCGGCTTTTCACGCCCCTGTGGCTGCCCATTCCTTGGGGAAAAGCGACCTGGTCATTCGTTTCCTCAAGGGGGCTAGGAGGCTCAACCCTCCTCGGCCCCCCTCTGTGCCCGCCTAGGACCTATCTACGGTCCTCAGGGCCCTTAAGGGTCCCCCGTTTGAACCACTTCAGGCAGCTGACCTTAAACCCCTTTCACATTTAAAACCGCACTCCTGCAAGCACTGGCGTCGGTTAAAAGAGTAAGAGACTTGCAAGGGCTTTCCATAAGCACAGTATGCCTTGAGTTTGGGCCTGGCGACTCAAGAGTCGTGCTCAGACCAAGGCACGGCTATGTTCCTAAGGTGCTCTCAACCCCGTTTAGAGCCCAGGTGATATCAGCTCTTCCCTCGTCAGAAGATGATAATAACTTGGATCTGGTCACGAAACAGACTATTTAGGTGGATAGTAGACACTATTTCTCTAGCCTACACCTCCATGGGCCTTCAATGCCCCATAGGTGTTAGAGCTCATTCAACTAGAGGCACGGCATCCTCATGGGCTTGGTCCAGTTGTGTACCAATCGAAGACATATGTGCGGTGGCAGGCTGGTCCTCACCGTCCACATTGACTTTAGCCTGGAAACCACCCCGGAAAACACTTTTCAGACTGGATGGAGATATCCAGCTTTATGAATGAATGAATGAATGAATGAATGAGGCATTTATATAGCGCTTTCATAGGCCTGTATAGCCTACTAGGCCTACATTCAAAGCACTTTACAATCATATCAGAGAATCTCTCCTCAACCATCATTAGTGGTTATTAAATCTGAGGAAATCACGGGATCCGGCCAAATGATTGGATACAGAATGATGCCCTTAAAATGTATCCAGAACGTATTTACGGTGAAGAGGGAGACAGAGCGGTTACTGTTGTGTTCTCGACCCAGATAGTTGCCTAGACGAGCACAAAAACACCTCAAAAACACTGCCACATAAAGTTTGGACCAGATTGTGATACCTACTCCGGCGGCGTCTGTGCGCTCGTCTATAACGTCATGGTAATTCTTGTTGGTAGATTAGCACCTGTGTAGAAATTTTGTTGAAAGCCCAGATAAAAGTAAAAAGCTACTATTTTGTGTTGATCCATGGCAGTTCGACTTCACAAGTGCATTTCTTTACACACACACACACACACACACGCGCGCGCGCGCTCTGAGCCAGTGGACGCGCACTGTTATGAATGCACACACTTCTATGGAAGATGTATTATCGTAATGTTTTGACTTTATTCTCGAAATGTTTCGACTTTAATCTCGAAATGTTTCGACTTTAATATCGAAATGTTTCGACTTTAATATCGAAATGTTTCGACTTTAATCTCGAAATATTTCGACTTTATAATCTCGAAATATTTAATCTCGAAATATTTCGACTTTAATCTCGAAATGCTCGATTTTTTTATTATTTTTTTATAGATTTTTTTTTACGTTGCGGTTCAGGGCTTCCGTAGCCTACACTTTATAACCAAATGTCAAAAGATTTACTCGAAATGAACAGCATTAATAAAGCCCCAGTCTTACAGATCATTAACTAAAAAAGTTGTTTAAGGGGTAAGTTACCCTTTTACGATTATTTTTTATTATGACTTTGTTTTGTTTTGTTTTGTTTTTGGAAGGGTCTCAAAATGTATTTTCTATTAAAGCTCATAAAAGCGTAAGCCTATTATGTTTTTTTTTTATTTAATTTAATTTAATTTAATTTAATTTTATTTAATTTTATTTTATTTTATTTTATTTTATTTTATTTTATTTTATTTTATTTTATTTTATTTTATTTTATTTTATTTTATTTTATTTTATTTTATTTTATTTTATTTTATTTTATTATTTGTTTTTGGAATAGTCCCAAAAGGTCTTTTCAATTTCCTCAAAGCTCATAAAAGCTTACGTTTATCATGTTTCATTGTGTTTATTTATTTATTTGTAGAAAAGTCCTAAATGTATTTTTAATTTCTTCAAAGCTCATGAAACTTATCATAGTGCTTTTCTGCTGGTTTTTCTTCAGTAACTGTATATTTTATTTGCACATGATAAGAGGCAATCCAACACAGTACCAATTACACAGTGATTGTTTATTGTACAAAATATCCTTAACATAACGGATGAAAGTTTACTGTTATTATACCCTACTACACATATATTTTGCTTAGGCCCTACTAATTTGTTTTCGGTTATCCCGAAATTGCCACTGAGTCAGACTCCAGTGCTGTAGGAGGCGCTGTCGTTCTTTCAGGAAACTCTCCTACTGCAGCAAGAAGAAGTAGGGACATTTGTACACGGCAAATCATGTAGCAGCGCATTTGAAAGACTGAGGTAGTTTATAAATAATCTTTTCATATTCTGCTCTTACTATGTCATTAGATTAAATATATTTTACTGTTAGCACTAAATGGTATTTCTAAAAAGTACATTGCGTTAAGTGTGATGTTTTTTGCTAAGACATTAACATTAACGTTACCTGCCTCTGTTGAAAGACTCACAGACCAGATGCAGCTTGTAAACAAACACAGAAGACAAGTCGAATTGAATTAAGAGCTCTTAAAGGTAATAAAAGGCGTTTTAAATTCATTTTAGTGTTGCAATATCAATGTTACCATCTCCGAATATGCCTTATCAACAACATATCAGCAAGTATAGTTTACCTGAATGCAGCTTTTGTATGAATGACAATATCATTGTAATTCCTCTAATGTTTTTCAAAGTTTGTTGTGTTTAAGTCTCTTACAGTTACAGTAAGTTGGAAATTGTGTAACAATGAATCGACCAAAGCCAACAAGCATTAGGCGTCCTAGTAACACCAAACCATCAGGTAAGAGTGTTTAGCTGTGATTATGACAAATATATTTCATGTCAATTTTCGGACATTTCATGACAATTTTCGGACATGTCTTTATCATCCTGTGACAGGTCACCCACCTCCAGGGGATTTCATTGCTCTTGGAGCAAAGAGTCAAGGCAGTGAGCCCAAAGCAAACCCAGCTCTCTTGAAGCCACCGTCCACCGTTTTGCCCCCAGACCGCAAGAGAGAGGCATCTTCATCCCTGCCCTCTTCCTCCAGCCTGTCCAAGCGGCCCAAGCTCTCTAGTACTCCACCCAGTGCCCTCTCACGCCTCGCTGAGGTGGCTGCCGTTGACAAAAGATCAATATCCCCTTCAATCAAAGAGCCATCTGTAGTTCCTATTGAAGGTGAGATTCAGAAAAACTTTAATCTAATTTAGGGTTTCACAATGTCAGTATTTTCTAGTTGATACCTAGCCTGGGTTTCCCCATACTACCTTGCCGCAGCACGATTTTATTCACGCTGCTAGGTAGTCTGGATACCATGGACCAAATTTTCGCCTCATCTAGGGAACCAGTCACAGAACGGGGAGGGAGCAGCAAGACGATGACGACGTCGACATTTATGCGACAACAAATATTATTATACAATAGAACAAGTGCTTATGTAGCAGGAGGAACAAGTATTCCCTTTTGAAAAAGAATTGCGCTTAATTATATTTGAAGTCGACATGAAATGAAAATTCACTTTATTTTCTGAATGCATCTTATAGATCTTATTATGAACAGTTAATTACATAAAAAAAATAAGTTTTGACCTTGTAATATTAATTCAAACCGGACCTTCGGGACTTCTCCAATCATTTAGTCCACTTTATGTTGATTAACAAACTAAAGCACATGTAAAAGTACGTGATTATAATTTTAACTCTAGTGTGTTATTTGATATTACATTTCATCATTAGAAATGTGTAATTATATATATATATATATATATATATATATATATATATATATATATATATATATATATATATATATATATATATTTAAAACGTGCAAGTTTAAATAGGAAAAATATTAAAGTTGGTTTTAGTTTACCATAAATGCGTATACTTTTGACATTATTGCACTTAAATCATATTTAAAAGACAATAGAATTAATATTGAAACTACATATAAAGATGTACTTCAGTCGTACTTAAGTGGGTCAAAAACACTTAAATTTCAACTAATTGCATTATAAATGAGACTGCCATTTTTACCTGTTTTAAGTGCTTTTGACCATTTTACAGTAAATATTGAAGTATTTATGTGTTACTTTAGACATCCGTATTCCAAATCCAGTTTTCATATTTCCATAGACATTGTTTTTACAATCAATGTGAATTCACACAACATGTGATTGCTTGTTTTTCAGTGTCCCCTGCTGTTCTTCTGGATGAGATCGAGGCAGCGGAGGGAGAGGGTAATGATGACCGCATTGAGGGTGTTCTCTGCGGGGCTGTCAAACAGCTGAAGATGAACAGAGCCAAGCCTGACATGACGCTGTACCTCAGCCTCATGTTTCTGGCCAAAATCAAGCCCAATGTATTTGCTACAGAGGGTGTGATAGAGGTAGATCTCATCTCCTGTGCTATAGTACCGGAATTTACTGTTGCTTCTGGTGACGTAGCTTATTGTGTTGAACGTCTTTGATCAGGCTCTCTGCAGTTTGCTCCGCCGTGATGCCTCAATTAACTTTAAGGCCAAGGGGAACAACCTGGTGTCCGTGCTGGCCTGTAACCTGTTGATGGCCGCCTATGAGGAGGATGAAAACTGGCCTGAGATATTCGTCAAAGTAAGCAGTCAATCTGACCAGCTTTCCTGTCTCACAGTAATCATAGTACTGATACACTGTCATTGTGGTGTTCCCCAGGTCTACATTGAGGATTCTCTCGGTGAGAGGATCTGGGTGGACAGCTCGCACTGTAAAACATTTGTGGATAACATCCAAACTGCCTTCACAACAAAGATGCCTCCTAAGAGTATGCTGCTCCAGACGGAAACAGGGCGGTCAGGAGGCGACCTCAGTGCAGGTTGGTGGTCCAAGACTATATTCAGTCATGTGTAGGTTAGTAACAAATAGTGTAATTGATTCAAACTACTGTTTTAGGGAACAGCCCTCATCCTTCCACTCCAGATGAAGATGAAGGTCAGACTGAGCTTCTAATCGCTGAAGAGAAACTCAGTCCAGAGGATGATGGACAGGCCATGCCAAGGTATGGAACTACAGATACTCAAGACAATGTAGTAGTCTTTAATTATAAAGAACTGCATTACATTGAATAATTATGTTGAGAGCTTGAAGTAATATTTACTAAATTGAGAATGCTACATTGCATTGTTTTGACTTCAAAAGTTTTGGGTTGGTAAGAATCCATGTATTCAGCAATGATTCATTAATATGTTGATAAATTAACAGTAAATACTTTTACATCGATAAACGCTGTTCTTTTAAACTTTCTATTTATCAAAAATTATAAATTTCCACAAAAATGTTTTCAACAAGCAGCCAACTTTTCATCATTGATAATAATCAGAAATGAAATCGTCATATTTGAATTATTTCTGAAGGATCATGTGACACATGAAGACTGTAGAAAATTCAGCTTTGCATCACAGGAATAAATTACATTTTAAAATATATATGGCAAAAAGTTATTTGAAATTTAAATAATATTTCACAATATTACTGTTTTTACTTTATTTTTCTTAAAATAAATGAAGGATTGGATAAGATTTAATTTTCCAAAACTTAAAAGAATCTGGCAGACTCCAAACTTTTAAACAGTAGTGTATATGTAACTAATATGTTGTATAAATATGTTGTTAAATATTTAACAGAAGATATATAATTTTACATATAAATTAGTGTCTTTAACTTGAAATTATGCCCGCAATATGCACAGGTATTACATATTGTAAAAAAAAAAAAAAAAAAGACAAATCTGTAACTTGTAACATGGTTATGTGGATGTGTGTAACCATTATCTGCTTTGCCTCCAGGTACGAAGAGCTGGCTGAAAGTGTGGAGGAGTACGTGTTGGATGTTTTGAGGGACCAGCTGAACCGTCGCCAGCCCATGGACAATGTGTCCAGGAACCTTTTGCGTCTTCTCACGGCCACCTGTGGTTATAAAGAGGTCCGACTGATGGCCGTGCAGAGACTCGAGATGTGGTTACAGAATCCCAAGGTACAACAAGGTGGACAAAAGAGAGGAAGTGTCTTTGTCTGAGAGTGTGAAACCACATATCTAAAGGTTTGTTCTTGTTTGATGCGTTTCCAGCTGACTCGGCCAGCGCAGGATCTTCTCATGTCTCTGTGCATGAACTGTAATACACACGGCTCAGACGACATGGAGGTCATCTCGAACCTCATCAAGATCCGCCTCAAACCTAAAGTTCTACTCAACCACTACATGCTGTGTGTCAGGTCTGCATTACACCTTCAAACCTGAACTCTTGGGTTATTCTCCACAAGATTATAAGTTAGTAATTAAAAGTCTAGGGGTGTAACGGTTAGGGTTGGGTACCGAAACTCGGTGCCAATAGGGAACCGGTTCCGACGTAAACGGTAGTAACCAGACCGAATAAGAACGACAATTTCGGTGCCTGATTTCGGTGCCTGACTTAATTAGGCACGCACGCACACACACACACACGCACAGTCTCTTCTGTCTCGCATGCGCGCTGTTGCTCGCAAGGTTTGGCTGCATTTCACGTGTAAAATTACGCGTCAGAACGCCCTCTGGGTGTGCCGATAGTCTGAATCCATATAGAATCAAGCCAATTCATTGGCTGATGGCGCGGGCGCTGCCTCGACGCACTTACGTCGTCATATTATGTTGGCGCGCGCGCGCCATCTGCTCCTCAGATTTCTTTGCCGAAAAAGGAAGCTGGTCGGCTGCGCAAGGAGCTTGGCAGCGTCTCGTTCCCTATTGAGAGAACATAGGTTACACCAGTAACCAGAGATGTCCTCTTTCATAGGTTCACTCAACGCTGCGTAGCTAAGAAGCAGTGGATTTGTATTTGTAGGCTGCTGTATCACGTGCCGTTTGAACTGACGCGCTACAGCGATCTGTCACATTTCAAAGAGCCAAAACGTTATTGTGTGAATCTCGTAAAAATATTGACAGAATCTGACAGCTGTGGATTTGTTCCATATCAAAAGTAGCCTTGTCTGTCGGTGTCAGTGTCCTCTTTGTCCGCGATTTTTCTCTGCGTGAGAAAATGGATGTGTGGCGTGCGTGAGGGCGTGTGAAGGGTCAATTGCGTCTCACGGTCAATGCGTGAGTGTTGGCAGCTCTGCCTGCTAGTAATCTCTATTAATCTCCAGTATTATTACATTGTTTGATACAATATTGTTTTATTTGATATTATGTAAATGTAAATTTTTATTTTATATTGGTTTTATTATTATTTGTATTTATATTGTTTAAAGATTTAAGTTAATATTGTGTCCAGTTTGGCCCTGTAAATAAAAGGGTATTATTTTTTGATAAAGTGTGTGCGGTTTCGTTTTCTTAAGTACCGTTTCAAGAACCGTTTAAGCACCGGAACCGTTTAAAAAATACTGAGTAGGTACTGGTATCGGATAAAACCCAACCGATACCCAACCCTAGTAACGGTACACACTAATGATGGTTCGGTACGTATGTACTTGGATTGTGCACTTCTCCAATAGCAGCTCACTCTGTCTTTTGCTATTTTTCAAGATATGTTTTCAACATCAAAGTATATTGATACAAATGATATTGTCCCATCCTAAGGGGGAATCTACTGAGTTTGAAATTACTTTCCACATCCAGAGAAGTTCCTCACATGCAGTGGTTAAAACAACACTGTGTTCATTGTGCACTGCACCAAAAATATTCAGTATGAGTACATGTACCGTTACACCCCGAGTAAAGTCTAAATGCTTTTTTAATTTTATGTACCTTTTTGTCTTTTTCATATTTTGCAGGGAACTTCTAAATGCCCACAGAGATAATCTGGGCACCATGGTGAAGTTTGTGATCTTTAATGAGTTGTCAAATGCCAGAAATCCCAATAATATGCAAGTCCTCCATACTGTTCTGCAACATAGCCCAGAGCAGGCGCCCAAGGTGACTTTTCAAACAACATTGGTGGCTTCATGCACAATAACTGTATTCAGTGTTGCTTCCCAAGGCGATTGTAACTGTTAGTATTGCTCATACTTGTTTTCAAGATCCCTAACTCTCAGTATCAAACTTTGACCTGTTCCAGTTGTGGCATTAACATGAAAAGTATGGACCCGAAAAGTGTAATAACATTTATTTTGAGCCTTTTTGTCTTGTCCCTAGTTTCTGGCAATGGTGTTCCAGGACTTGCTGACCAATAAGGATGACTACCTGCGGGCATCAAGGGCCTTGCTTAGGGAAATCATTAAACAGACCAAACATGAGATCAACTTCCAGTCCTTCTGTTTAGGCCTCATGCAAGAGAGGAAAGAGGCCACTTATGTGGACATGGAGTTTAAAGTGAGGACTATATAGATGTATTTATTATGTGTAGTTTCATAAAAGAAAATGTTTTGATGTATTGCCTGACTGTACATAATAATTTTTTTTTTTATCCATCTCAGGAGCGTTTTGTCATCCAAGTGACAGATCTCTTGACGGTGTCCATGATGTTGGGGATCACGGCTCAGGTCAAAGAGGCCGGCATTGCGTGGGACAAAGGAGAGAAGAAGAGTAAGATGTTTTATTCTCTTAGTGCCTTATATCCAAGGACCTGTTTACACCTGATCACTTCATGGGTTTTTACTGATCTGATAGCTATCTGATTTGTTAAAACGGTTCCATTTACACTTGGCCACATAAATGTGTCTCCGCCAAACGAATATATATCCGATCTTCAATTCCCGCGCTATATGCAAATTTAACGGAGTTCACGTCAATGAAAGCAACGAATATGAGCTGCATTTTATTTATCATCAGCTAATTTCAAGACCAAAGGCCGCAATAGGAGAGAGAGCGGCATCAGCACCGGTAAGCTCATTTTGTCTCTCACTACTTTTAATGAAGATGATTGTGTGTTAAGCATCTGAGACTTACTTTCAGTTTTATTTGCTGCAGTTTGCGCGTTGGCTTGCTGAAGAGATACTCAGCTACTCATCTGCGGCAATGCGTGTTGCAGTAGCACTGTCATATCTGGCTATAACATGTCATAAATCCTATAACACGCTCTTACACATTTATTTTTTGTAACATTTTGGGAGGAGTAAAGTTTACATATGTGGTTTCAACAACCAGATGCATTTACACTTGTCCAGTTTTGTTTGGAATTAGTCTCAGACCACCTCCTGAAGTGGTTTGAGTGATCGTGTTTAAATACGTCTCAGAAGCATTTCGGAGGGCATTTACACCTGGTCTTTTCATGATCGGAAATGACCAGGTGTAAACAGACCCCAACATTCAAAACTGTTTTTTGTGATAATGAGGTTGCGAATGTGTCTGTATTTCAGATCTGGAAGCACTGAGGTCCTTTCAGAACCAGATCGCTGCCATCCAGCGAGATGCTGTGTGGTGGCTACACTCCGTGGTTCCCACCATCAGTAAAGTGGGAGCTAAAGACTATGTGCACTGGTATGGATAAGAGGGATGTAGGACCAGTTTTGTTATTGTTATAGGCACAATATGTAAAATAATAATAAAAAAATATGAGAAGAACATTTTTAGCGGTGCGAAGACCTTTATATGTCAAATTTGTCTTATATTCTCATGCCATGACCCCTTTAAAATGTGAGTCAAGTTTTTTGCACCAAGAACATCATTTATTTAATATTTCATGACCATTTAACATCCTCTTTGGAAGCTTTAAATTAAACTGTCACTTGTAACGCTGCATGTAAGACTATGCAAATACCTTTGCCTACAGCAGATTGTTATTTTGCTGATTGTTTAGTTGTGTTTCAACAGTCTTCACAAGGTGCTTTTCACAGAGCAGCCCGAGACCTATTACAAATGGGACAACTGGCCACCTGAGAGCGACAGAAAGTGAGATATCATCTCTGATTGAACATCATAGAGAAAGAGTGTTTTTTTTTTGTGTCCTTTTTTTTTATAGATGCTAAAACATTTCTCCTTTTTGTTAGTTTCTTTCTCCGGCTGTGCTCTGAGGTTCCTCTGCTGGAGGACACACTGATGCGCATCTTGGTGATCGGTCTCTCTCGTGATTTGCCCCTTGGCCCTGCTGACGCCATGGAGCTGGCCGATCACCTGGTGAAGAGAGCTGCAGGAGTTCAGTCTGATGGTAAGACAATGCTTTAGTAGTGATCTGGTCTGTTTTTAAAGCTGGCCATGTGATTATGTTTGTCTTCCTACATCATCAACTGTAGACTTGGATGTGTTGCGAGTCGAGAGGATCCAGCTCATTGATGCTGTGCTGAACCTTTGCACCTACCATCACCCAGAGAACATCCAGCTTCCTGCAGGGTACGGCCTTTACCCTTCACCGAGTTTATTCCCTCCTGTTTTTTCACTTCTGTTTTATTAGGCAGTGATTCATCAGCTTTATATTGCTAGATAATTATTGGGTGTCATGGACTATTTGCATTGAAAGTTTAAGCTACACTGTGGTCTGTCCGCTCCTGGAATCTGTCACTCTATTTGTGGGCTGTTTATTCGTCTGAGAGGTGAAATTCTTTATTAAATGTTCCATTATAGGTATCAACCTCCTAATCTGGCCATATCAACTCTTTACTGGAAGGCCTGGCTCCTGCTGCTTGTGGTCGCAGCATTCAACCCACAGAAAATCGGTGAGGCCAGATATGATGCAATACTTGCATTTCATAATAACATCTCATTAGAACGCCATTACATCGCTGTCACTGACGGTTTCAGGTTTGGCAGCATGGGATGGTTACCCCAGTCTGAAAATGCTCATGGAGATGGTTATGACAAAGTAAGTGTTCTGCATATTGTGTGGAAATGTGGATTTATGGATATTTCAGCACTTCACTCTTTCTTTTGCTCTCTTCTCAGTAACTACTCCTACCCTCCGTGCACGGTGGCCGACGAGGAGACCAAAACAGAAATGATCAATCGAGAGCTGCAGATCTCTCAGAAGGAGCGGCAGGAGATCCTGGCCTTTGAGAGCCACCTGGCAGCCGCCTCCACCAAGCAGACCATAACAGAGAACAACAGCCTTCTGCTGTCCCAGCTCACCAGCCTGGACCCCAAGTATGACTTCCCGTTTGTCACTGCATTAATAATCCAGTGTGTTTTTAAAGAAACTGACCCTGTCTTTGGTTCACTTAGGGGACCCCCACGTAGGCCACCTCCTCTTGTCCTGGATCAAGTGAAAACTCTGAACCAGTCTTTGCGCCTGGGCCATTTGCTCTGCCGCAGCCGCAACCCTGACTTCCTGCTCAATATCATCCAGAGACAAGTAAACTCTTTGCTATGCTGTTCTTAATAGCCATGTTTAAGGGACTCGCTAAATTTCATATTTCCCCCCGTCCAGGCCTCCTCTCAGTCTATGCCGTGGCTGGCTGATCTCGTTCAGTCTAGTGAAGGGTCGTTGGATGTGCTGCCCGTTCAGTGCCTGTGCGAATTCCTCCTCCACGATGCTGCTGATGACTCATCTTCCATTGATGATGAGGAAGAAGGAGAGAGCAAAGAGCAGAGAGTGAAGAAAAGACAGGTAAAGTACAGTCTCCATCTCACATGTCTCTTGTCTTCTCAAGGGGCCATATTTTATTTTCCTATACTTTTTTCATAAAGTATGTCATACTTTTTATCCCCCTGAAGTCATCTTGTAATGTTGTCTTAAACCAAAGTTTAGTTTTACATGACCGTTATTCCAATCCCCACTGTAGGAAAATTGTTAGGGTGGGCAAAGATGCTGAATATATACACTACCATTAAAACGTTGTTTTTATAATCTTACAAAAGATTTCCATTTCAAATAAATGCTGTTCTTTGCATCAAAGAATCCTGAAAAAAGGCATCTCGGATTCCATAAAAATATTAAGCAGCCGTTTTTAACATTGTTAATAATAAGTAGGGATGGGAATCGAGAACCGGTTCTTCTTCAGAACCGGTGCCCAGTGAACCAATTCCTTGGAACCGTTAGCATGCCTGCTTAACGATTCCGCTTATCGGTTCCGCTCGTTGCAAATGTGTCATGACGTCACACAAGCGCTGCGTTGTTTTGGTTCAGAACGCAGCAAACACGGCATCGAGGCAGAAGCGCTCTACAGTTTGGTTATATTTCACGCGAAAAGACGACAATATATGAGGGGCCGTCTAGAGCTTAATCAAACTTCATTCATTCACACATATGAAACACTTGCATACACTACTAGTCAAACATACATGTATACTGCTGAATGCGCTAACAAATATATATGAAATGCACAACGACACATCTAAAGTCGCTCACGCACATACTCTACGCAAACTCCACACACACGAGATGCGCGGAACTCTCCAGGCACATACTCATATGACGCGCGCGCACACACAAACTCTCCACGCACATACTCATATGAGACGCGAGCACACACGCACATACTCAACGAGAGTATGACGGCGCCTCATAACAATACGGTCACTTGCAACACGTGTAAAATTTCCATTTCGTCAAAGGGGGGAACTAACTCCAATATGCAGAAACATTTGACCACACAGCAACACGTGTAACATTATACACTGATGAATGAGCACTGCTTTTAAATGAACATTTTTTTTTAAACAAAATTTATTTTACAGAATTTCATTTTCTTAATGGCATAAACAGACTTTAGTCCCATGAAACTTAAACTGGAACTGTTTCTGTCACTGCGACTTCCCGAACAGGCGAACACACACACACACGCGCACCCATGCACACATCAGTTTTGAAGTAAAATTGAAAATTGATTATGCAGTGCATGTAATGCATCGAGATATCGAATTGAACTGAATCGATGACATGATAATCGTAATCGAAACGATCCGAACCGTGAGACCAGTGTAGGTTCAAACCCCTAATACTCTGTGCTGTGTCTTCTGATCATCAGATATTAAAGCGAGTTAATACAAACAAACAATTTGTACTTATTCCCTCACCCAATAAGGAATCGATAAGAGAATCGATAAGGAATCGAATCGATAATGGAATCGTAATTGTTAAATTCTTATCAACTCCCATCCCTAATAATAAGAAATGCTTCTTTAGCAGCAAATCATCATATTAGAATGATTTCTGAAGGATCATGTGACACTGAAGACTGGATTAATGATGCTGAAAATTCAGCTTTGATCGCATGAATAAATTACATTTTAAAATGTATTCAAATAGAAAACGGTTATTTTAATATTTCACAATATTATTGTCACTGTATTTTTCCCTCCTCATCTTTCCCATCAGAGGCAGCAGAAACAGAGGCAGCTTCTTGGGCGGCTGCAGGACCTTCTGCTGGGTCCTAAGGCTGATGAACAGACCACATGCGAGGTCTTGGACTACTTCCTGCGCCGTCTCAGTTCTTCTCAGGTGGCCTCTAGAGTGCTGGCAATGAAGGTGCGCAGTTAATTAACCATCCACCAGTGCTTGGTTCATTTAGGACGCTTTAATAAGATTGTTGATTGTGATGTGTGTCAGGGTTTGTCTCTGGTGCTGACGGAGGGAGGATTAAGAGATGGAGAGGAGAGGGATCAGCTCATGGAGGAGGACTCGGGAGATGCAGAGTTATTGCCAGGCTACCAGTGGCTCCTTCAGGACCTCCCCAAACTGCCTCTGTTTGACAGCGTGAGAGGCTTGACGGCCAGCGCCTTACAGCAGGTCAGTTTACCTACACAGTTACAAGAATATCAATATCGGTAACTTGATCAGCTTATGTTTGTGTGGTTTTCCTTTTTTGTCAGGCCATTCACATGGAGACCGATCCTCAAACCATCAGTGCATACCTGATTTACCTATCCCAGCATGCACCAGTGGAGGAGCAGTCCCTACACAATGACCTGGCCTTGGTTAGTCTAAACCTACAGCATTTTATCAGTCTGAGAAAAGCTCTAGTCTAACCTGTTTCGTCTCTCCTCTCTGGCTTCTCAGGATGTAGCTCGCCTGATAGTGGAACGCTCCACTATAATGAACTGCCTGTTCTCCAAGCACTCCTGCAGACCCGAGTCTGACGCCGTCCTCTCCGCTCTGATCACCATCTTCTCTGCCTACATCCGCCGTATGAGGAAGACAAAAGAGGGAGAGGACCTCTACAGCTGGGTAAGGAACGATTAACTGAACTGGAAATTCAAATTACTGCTTGCTTGTTCACATGATTAAAGACCAAATTTTAAACATCACAGTCAGAGTCTCAGGATCAAGTGTTCCTGCGATGGACCACAGGAGAAACAGCCACCATGCACATTCTGGTAGTCCATGCTATGGTCATCCTGCTCACGCTGGGACCTCCCAAAGGTGAGTGTCTCCTCTGTCGCAGTGTGTGGGGATTGACTCTGCCTGTACTTGGAGTAACAGCTACTGTGATTGTTTTTTTTTTTAGGGGAAAGTGAGTTCTATATACTGCTGGATATCTGGTTTCCTGATAAAAAGCCCCTTCCTACTGCATTCCTGGTTGACACGTCTGAGGAGGCCCTTCTTTTGCCTGATTGGCTGAAATTACGAATGATCCGTTCTGAGGTCGCCCGATTGGTTGATGCAGGTATAGATATCTTGTATTTAGGAATATGGATTTCAAAATACCAAATTTGATACTAAGGAAATACCAAGGTAGCATTTATTTGATTAAAATACAGTAAAAACAGTAATATTGTGAAATATTAATGATATAGATATAATAAAATGTGGATAATATATTGTGTTCCTATAAAATTTTAATATTTAATCTTTTAAAATGTAATTTATTCCTGTGCTGCAAAGCTGAATTTTCAGCATCATTACTCCAGTCTTCAGTGTCACATATCTATTTCTATAGCACTTTATACAATACAGATTTTCAAAGGAGCTTCACAGTAATAATCAGTAAAATAACAGAATCAATGATGCAAACTTCATCAAATTTGAGACAAATTAAATTTCAGCTATGAGCAGCTCTAAAAAGACAATGGTATCATTATTCACCTCTATTCAGTTTAGTCTTCTTGAGTTCATATGACTGTCATTATTCAGCTCAGTTCAAGTTTTCTTCACATCCAACAGTGTCAGTGCAGTCAAATCAATAATATTACTGAATATTAAGTATCTTTTAAACCCCGACGTCACACCCCGAAAGTTTGTTTACAAGTCTGAATGGGTTTCTCTGTCATTTGCAGCCCTACAGGATCTGGAGCCCACGCAGCTGCTGTTGTTCGTCCAGTCCTTCGGGATCCCCGTCTCCAGCATGAGCAAACTGCTGCAGTATCTGGACCAGGCCGTGTCCCATGATCCCCAGACACTGGAGCAGAACATCATGGACAAGAGTGAGGATCTTTCATTTGGTGTACTCTTTTTCTTCTAGCATTCAGTGTGTGTGAAATGATGCTAACATCATGGATGTTTTTTATCTGTTAGACTACATGGCTCATCTTGTAGAAGTCCAGCATGAGAGAGGAGCCACGGGAGGACACACGTTTCACAGTTTGCTCAGTGCTTCACTTCCTTCACGCAGAGGTCGGGATCGAATGCCTTACATCAAGGGTTAAGACAGCAGTGAATAATGGTGCTGTTTTTCTCAGTTGACTCCTTTGCTAATCTGATGTGTTACAGACAGCTCAGAGGTGAACAGGGCTAAGGTTACCGTTGAAACACCTCATGGCTCTGTAAAGATGAGAGCAGTTAGTCAGGTGCCAGCGATCGGCCCAGAGGATGATCTCACTGGGATCCTACTACAGGTACGACACCTCACTTTGAACTACTAATGCTGCTTTTTAGAGGGGTTTTTTTTTCTCCTGCCAAGATTTAATTCTACCATGTTTTTAATAATACTATGATAATCTGACATGGTCAGTCTTAGTCCAGCACGCAGTCTGTCCTGTTCACATTTTCCCTTTCTCTCACCAATTTCTGGGTCACTCTCTTCTAAGGCTAAGTATTGCCAACTACGTCATAACATGATGTAGATTTTTTTAGATGAATCTAGATTTTGTTGATGCTTTAATGCTGCCTTCCCAATCCATGCGATCGGAATTATCGTAAATACGAGTTTCCTAGTAGAGAATTGGACATATAGCCCCTCTCAAGTCGTATTTACTACTTGGAAACTCAGAGATAATATTGATAACCGAGTTTCCGAGTTGGGCGTGCCATAAACTTTGAACATGGCGGAGGGGAGAATGATTGCTGCTGTGAATGGTTTTCTTTTTTTTCACTACAGCTACATCTGTTACGACCTTGTCTTGTTGTTTAAGTAGTGCATATTTACATATATGAAAAATCATTTGAAGCATATTGTAAGGTTTATACGCAGTGAAAGTACCCTGTATTAAATTCCAGAATCGTCAGAAAGCTGACTAGATAGCAGGTGAATGTTTATATTGTTGTCAATGAGTCAATGAATGGGATGCTAAAAATCATTTCTGCTTTAATACGCTTTCCCCAATAATGCAAGAATAAGCCTGGTGTCCTCCATGATTCCTGTTTTTTTTCTGACAACAAAACACTTGAATGCGACAAGCTCGTAATTACAACTTCAGAAGTGGGAAGTATTAGGAAATTTCCAATAGTATGTGAAGGCGTTATAATACATCACTATATCCTTATTGGATTGTGATTAAAACTGTCGAATGTTTAAGAAATACTGAATCAGTTTTAAAAAGATAGTAAAAAAAAAAGAAGAAGAAAATTCTCACTCTCATGTTGTTCCAAAACCAAAAGACTTTCGTTCATCTTCAGAACACAAATAATATTTGAATGAAACCTGAGAGATTTCTGTCACTCCATTGAAAGTCCATTCCACTAAAAATGTTTAAAAAGTACATAAATACATTTCTAAAGTAATCCATATGAATTGAGCTGTTTCATCCAAGTCTTCTGAAGAGACATGGTGACTTAATATGATGAAGAGTTTTAGACTTTTAATTTAGACTTTTATTCATATATAAACATTGATCAGTGATGGTGACGATTCTCTTTCCCCATCTAGCTCTTCCCCCTGAAGGTGGATCCTCGCTGGCCTCCTCCTCCGGTCCGACCACTGTCATTATCTCTGCAGCAGACCCTGGCCCAGGAGGTTCTGCAGGCACGGCAGGGTCACATCCAGCAGGGTGGCGCTGCCGGACGACTCCTACAAGCCTTAGCAGCCCTTCTAAACTCCGCCCACGCTGGAGCCCTGGTCATGGCAATGCACCACAGCCATACGATCTCCTGTCCTCTACTGCGCCAACTCCATCTTTACCAGGCACCTAACCTACTCATACCTGCATATTCAATATCCTCACTGGTGCTTCCTTTCGCTTGCTCACTCTACTTCTCTTTTTCTCCTCTAGCGGTTGGTGTCTCAAGACGTTGGCTTCTCATCGCTGTTCTTCAACGCCGTTGTGCAGATGTTGACGTGGTTGGAGAACTCCGCGGTAGAGACGGGGCCACTCCACAGCCTGCTGAAATCTCTGGCAGCTCAGTACTCTCACAAACATCGCATCACAGATGGTGAGTCACTACTATTCCTGAATTTTAGCTGTTGCAGGTCACATTTGCAAGCTTATATTCAAACTAGCTGAATCAGGTCAGAAAATACAGTCATTTGATAGTTGTTAGTCCTAGCATGCTCTCCTGGTGTTGACTGTGTCCTGTGTTATCAGTTCGTACAGGATTTCTGCACTTGGCTGAATCACTGGCGTATAGACGAGACTCTGAAGTGGCAGCGAGGGGCATTATTGCCTCTCTGAGAGCTGGAGAAAAATGCAATGCTGAACCTGAACTCATACGAAAAGGTATTTAAGCTGTTCAGGGTCCTCCATTACTCACTTAAAGGGTCATATCTCAATTAATCAAACTCTTTTAAAATTAGAGCGTTCATTGTACTGTGAAAACGTACTAAAATGTTTCGAAATCAAAGCTTCCTCCCGAATCCAAGAAGTGCATTTATTGAAACTAAGCTGCCAAAACTACTCTTTCCAAACTGAATACATGAACATATGACCGTCCACATTTACACAGATTTTTTGGTGTTCAGAGGAAGTAGATTAGATGTTATTATTTCTAAATATCTGAAGAACTGAAGGCCAAATGAGGGAGAGTTCAGATTCTGACCTCAGTGGACTGAACAGAAGAAATGAACTGGAGAAGAGCAAGGCAGAGCCTCAGAGCCACACCTATCTATTACATCGCCACAGACCAATGGTAGTTTAAGGTGTTTACCACCCTAGAATTTTCCCAAAACGAGCATCAAACAAACTTTGTTTTAGCCTGTTTTTGTTCCAAATGACATTGCACCAGATTGTTTTTCAATTTCGCTTGGAAGTATACCCGGGGCCTTTTAGCATTTACCCAACGTTTATTATAAATAAGTTCATAAACATTTTATGCGTCAACTGCCTAGTTTCATTGCAGCTAGACTTACTGCCTCATGCGAGAGGTGTGAAACAGGCCTGAGAGTTAGAGAGGGTGCGTAAAACGGTCTTAAGAAACTAAATCATGACTGTTTGTGGCCTAGAAAAAAACTTTACGAACATAAATGGACATCAGGGGGGAAAAATATGATATCTCTTGAATGTTTTGTGCGGCCTACATTACACAGCACTCATCTCTGTATGATGTTTTTAACTTAAATTATAGCTCCTCTGGGAACCACGTAGTGTACTCTTATAGAAATGCTTTGGAAAATGTTTTTGAACTGGTTTGTGGCAAACGTAAGGCTAACAGGCGAGGAGCGAAGGGTAAGTCAGCTCTACAGAGGCAGTTAAGTTTCTGTGTGTTGGTGTTGGTGTTGGAGTGGTTGCCAGCATTAGTCAGTCTCTCCGGAGGGCTGCGTTTGACTCATGCACCAGCATCTCCACTCACGCTGTCTTTAATGTTTCTCTTTATGATTTTAACTTTCTGCTCTGAAACCTCACCAAAACAAAAACAACCTCACACAGGGCCACACATCCACTCCAGGGCTTGTTTACGTCCAGCGACGGCTCCAAAGGCCGGGGTGTACTTTTGAAATACTTACTCATGAAAGTTAGTGTGGTGGGGCTGGAGTTCTAGAGAAGCAGGGTTACTTAGAAGCAAAGTGTGTGGTAGTTCTCATTTTTGCGATGTGGGATTGGCTGCGATGGGTTGTTTTTCATTTTTTTGGACCTGTGTGTGTGTTACACAAGAGTGCCGATATTATAAAACAAACACTTTTTGTGCCTTAGTGTTGCAGGGCCTCATGGAGGTGAAGTCTCCATATCTAGAGGAGCTGTTATCCCTGCTTATGACCATCGGTACGGAGAATGGGACCCCAGGAAACACAGCTGGTCCCGTTGCCATGGTGATCTCTCTGCTGCTACAGGAAACAGAGGAACGAGGGGTGAAAATAGAGGTGGATTCCAAAATGTAAGCGCACCATGAGTCACTCTACGCTGCCTCATCACATATTTCCTTCCTTGTATGCTGGGGATACTGTTTCTAGGTGGGGAAGGAACACAGTAAAATTGGGTTAACACTTTTTTTTTATTCTTTTTTTATGTCCCTGTCGAACTGCCAAAGTTACCATAGTAAGTCACAGTGAGACCAAATACGCATCATACGCAGTGTGACTCTGATGTAAACTAGTGTTTCACAACTTTGTTTGGCTTTTGTAAAGATTCAAGTACCCCTTCATCAACAGCAAACCAGAAATGTGTTCCTTTTTACCCATATTATACTGGATAAATCACCATTATTACAGTGATAACGGGAAAGTAACATGAATGGTGACCCATGTTCGGAGTTTGTCCTCTGCATTCAACCCATCCAAGTTAGTGGACACATTAGGAGCAGAGTAGTAAACACACACACACAGTGCAAACCATGGACACACACACACCCAAGTATCAAGTTCATAACATTTGTACACTACCGACCAAAAGTTTGGAATAATTATGTTTTTTTATGTTTTTGAAAAAAGCCTTTTATGCTCAGCAAGGCTGCATTTATTTTATCAACAAAACTGTAAACACGATAATATTGTGAAAATATTATTGCAATTTAAAATGTTTTTTAAATAGAAAAATGTTCTATTTAAAAATATTTTAAAATCTCTATTCTATTCTAATTGGCTGATTTGGTGCTCAATAATTATCAATAATTATTGGTGCTCAAATATTAATGATGGTTTCATTATTATTATCAATGTTGAAAACTGTTTTTGCTGCTTAATATTTTTTGTGGAAACAGTGACACATTCCTAAAGTTCAAAAGAACAGCATTTATGTGAAATTGAAATCCATAAAGCATAAATGTCCTTACTGGCACTTGATCAATTTAGTGCATCCTTGCTGAATAAAAGTATGATTTCTTTTTTAATGTTTTTTTTTTTTTTTTTTTTTTACTTAACCCAAACTTTTGAATGGTAGTGTATCAGGGTTGCCACAAAAAGATAAAGCAGCACAACTGTTTTTAACATTGATAATAATAAGAAATGTTTCTTGAGCATCAAATCAGCATATTACAATTATTTCTGAAGGACCATGTGACACTGAAAACTGGAGTAATGATGGTGACAATTCAGCTTTGACTAAAATATATTCAAATAGAAATATTTTAAATTGTAATAATATTTTAACAGTATTACTGTTTTTTTCTGTATTTTTTAATCAAATAAATGCATTATTGGTGAGCATAAGAGACTTCTTTACAAAACATTAAAAAAAAGATCTTACCAGCCGCAAACGTTTAAGTGGGTAGTACACATGCCAGTGGTTGGGAATCACTGACTTAATTAGTGTATTATTTATTTTCCTGAAACACTGTGTATTTTCTGGGTTGATAACGGGTGTGTGTCCTCCCCTGCAGCACTGAGTCAAAGAAGCCTGGCTCGTGTTCAGGGCTGTTGGTGGACTGGCTGGAGTTGCTCGACCCAGAGGTGACCTCCGTGTGCTCGGATCTTCAGCAGAAGCTGCTTTTTGCTCAAAACAAGGTGAAATAGTTTCTCTCTAAACTGATCATGTGGGTGTGGCTACAGATTTAAATATGTACATGTGAGGGTGCAAATGACACGTAAAACATGTAAACGTCTTCCTCTCTGTTAGAGAGATAAAAAAAATAAGAAGCGTACCGCTAATATTCCTCTTTTTTTCTTAAATATGAAATACAGGCTAGTTCAATTAAATAAATGGTTTTAATGTTTTATGGCACAAGTAGTTTATTCATTCACTTATAAGCAGTGTTGGGGTAACGCATTGTACTTTATGTAATCAATTACTTTTGATTAAAATAATGCATTACTTTATAAATGTACATATTAATATTTAAGTTTGAGCACAATTGCACAGTACTTTTTGGTTTATTTAATTTGCTTAAACATGTTTAAAACTACTAAATTAAGTAGTCTCTTCTCCATAATGTGTGTGCGCAGGAATAGACAAAAAGTACAAAAGCAACAACTTTTTATATTCTGTTAAATTATAATAATATTATATATTCTAATTATATATAATAATATTCTTAATGTGTTTTTAAAAGAAAATGAGGGTGTATGTTATATTGTCTAAATTGTTGAATGCATTACTGTTTGCTTGCAAAAAAAGAAGGCCTGGAAGAGAGCGAACCTTAGCCAAGTGACAACAAGTAACACAACACATTACTTTCATTGAAAAGTAACCAAGTAACGTAGTTATTCACATTTTTAGGGAGTAACGCAATATTGTAATGCATTACTTTTAAAAGTAAATTCCCTCAACACTGCTCATGAGTACATTAATACAGTCTTTCTTGTACTTTTTTCAAATATTGAGATATTTCCCTTTAAAACAAATGTTTTGCTTTGCTCATGGCTTAATGGAATGTGAAATGCATACAGAGAAAAATGAATTTGAGAAATACTTCTGGATCCAAGGAAACTGAATACTGAAACAGTGGACAGTTGCTGTTGTGATCTATTGCTTCTTTATATGAGATGAGTGTGACTTTCTCATTGTCTGTCTCAGGTTAAAAGCAGCGGTGTAAGTGTGGCCCCCTCCTACAGGCCGTATCTGTTGGCCCTCCTTACACACCAGTCCAACTGGAGCACCTTACATCAGTGCATCAGCTCTCTGCTCAACAAACACAGAGAGCAGAGGTGAGCGGCTTTGTCAAACACGCTCCGCTCTTTTTGTTCTCACACCTCCTGCGTGCGTAACTGTGTTTCGTCTGATCTCCAGACTGGACCCAACCTCAGCTCTGGACTTCCTGTGGGCCTGCAGTCACATTCCCCGCATCTGGCAGGGGCGAGATCAGAAAACTCCTCAGGTTTGATCACAGTTAATATTGCATCGCAATTGTGAATATATTTACATATCAACACCTATTCAGCAGCTTGGCAAGATTGCTGTTTTTCACTTCACATATAGTTATTTTAGACAACCATAACAGGGATAGGGTTCCCACATTCTTGAAACAGCTGGGAATGTAATTTACCCGGTGATGCTCGACTTTAAATTATTTGAACTGCTAGACGTTTCTTTCGGGAATGCAATCTCTAGAAATAAGCATAAACGACTCATGTCATGGAAATATTTTTTTACAGAAATTAATTGGTCAAAAGGTGTGGGAAACCTGCAGATGTAATTTGTACATTCTTACATCTTTACATTCTTAAAGGTGTAGTAGCATCAACAGTTTTATTTTAAGGACCAGCAGGAGAGTAGACAATGGCCATGTCAAACCATGTGTTAGTCTTAAAGGGAGCATATTCTATTCTTGCACCATTTATATTGTTAACCAGTCCAAAGCTCAATTTGTAGTGGTCCTAAGGTCTAAAACTGTAATGTTTGGCTACAGATTGTATGTTTTGATCAGTTTATATTGGCTCTGAGTGTGTAAGATGGTGTTTTGTTTCTCTGCAGAAGCGCACCGAGCAGTTTGTGTTGAAGCTGTGTTCTGAGGAGCTCATAAGTCTGGTGGACCTCATCCTGTCTGAGTCAGAGCTGAGCTGTCGTGACTCAGCCACCTCTAAGAGCGCTCTGGACCAGGTCTCCTGCTCTCTTCTCCAGTCCCGCTTGCCCCTCCTGCACAGCTGTCTCCACTCAGACCTGGACAATGTAAAGAAGGTCTCTGAGTACCTCATCAGCTGTGTTAAGAAGTGGGGAGACAGGTACATCCTTCGAGTTTGTATTAGGAGTTGCACATGCTATCTGACTTTAATGCTCTGCCATGACACTTTAAGCTTGGCGTCGACTAGTCGCTGATCCTGCATGGCCTGTAGAGGGCGCAACAGGATAAGACATTTTTAAAGTACACTTTTTTTACTCTCCGTTCCCAACAGTTAAAATGGCAAATAAATGCATATTTCAAGACCTCCACAAGATATGTTTGATTATACCATCTGGATTGAATGCACGTTTTAAACAGCTAATTGTACACGTAAGTTAAAGGGATAGTTCACCCAATTTTATCATTACTTACTCACCCTCAAGTTGTTCCAAAACTGTATGAGTTTCTTTCTTCTGTTGAACACAAAAGAAGATATTTTGAAGAATGTTGGTAACCAGACAGTGAATAAATGCTGACAAATTAAAACATTTTGGGTGAACTATGCCTTTGATCGCTGTTCTAAACTAATGCGCTGCTGCATTGTGGCGCCCACACATACATACACAGCTTTGGAAAAAAAATAAGAGACCACTGCAAAATCAGCAGTTTCTCTGGATTTACTATTTATGTCTTTGAGTAAAATCAACATTTCTTCCAAATTTCAAGTAAAAAACATTCTCGTTTAGAGCATTTATTTGCAGAAGATGACAACTGGTGAAAAACACATGTTTTCAGACCTCAAATAATGCAAAGAAAACAATTTTATACATTTTTAAACAACACAATACTAAAGTTTTATCTTCAGAAGAGTTCAAAATATCGATATTTGGTGGAATAACCCTGATTTCCAATCACAGCTTTCATCAGTCAGTCACATGAAGCATTGTCCTGTGAGAAAAAACAATCCTTCGAAAACATTGTCTGAGCAGAAGGAAGCAGTTTTTTTTTCCCAGGTTAACCATGCGTACTTCATATAGAAGGATCTGCTCGATTCCAGCCTTACTAAAGAACCCCCAGATCAAATTTCACAGTGGGTGCAAGACACTCTGGGTTGTAGACCTCTCCAGGTCTCTGTCTAACCATTAGAGGACCAGGTGTTGAGCAAAGCTGAAAACTAGACTCATCAGAGAAGATCAGAATCAAGCAGATCCATCTTTGTGAAGGACGCATGACTCAAGCCATGTACAAGTTTATCCTGTAAGAAAACTTGCTGCCTTCTGCTCATGTTCCCAATGATCTATGAAAAAGTGGATGTAAAACAGCAAGGACAACAGTAGGTCAGGGTTTGTAACCAAACACTCGGCCACACTCACCACCATCGCAAAGCACTGAACTTCTTCTTTAAAAGCCCCCTTAAAGAGGCTGATAGATGTGCGTGATACCGTGCCGTTGCTTTACTTACAGCAGAAATGCGCTACATCAGGCACAAAAGCGGGAAGAGCTGTAATTAGTTCTTGTGGTGTGAAATGAGAGGCAGCTGAAGTCGTTCAGCGCTGTGATCTTCGAGAGAGCTCAGTGTAGTATAATGAATGCGTGAGGATTAAGGCTCCAGCTCTTCCTTTGGCTTCTGTTGTGAGTCGCAGCTCAGACTGGGGCTGTCAGAGAGATCAGACCGGGGCTCTTTGTGGTGGCAGCCCCCCTTCCTTTCATGAATTTGCCTTTGGTTATTAAACCCCCTTAATGAGGGGGAGAAAACTTTGGACAAGGTCAGACAAAAAATTACCCCCTGAAATACGATATTTTTAAGTCTAGCTAAGCTGTCTTATGGTCGAGAATGGGCTCGAGTAATACTGGCATGTAAAGCGTGTGTTTGGTGGGATAAACGCTCATGTGTTTGTTTGGCATTCTCCGTATCTGTTGCTTGTGAGCACAACAGCGGATTAGCAGGCATAAACCACAATTAAGCAACAAAGTTGTCGGTAAGAAGGCCTTTGCTTGATTGGACGAGCAGTTATGAGTTTGTTCTTCTGTTGGTAATAAAGTCTGTTATTGATACTGGCTGCTTTTTCTAGTTAGACCATTTTAATCTCTCTCGTTGACCAAAATACTTTTGGAAAGTTGACTTAATTATTTTTTTTACACAGTATTTTGCTTATTTTAAATGTATAATTATAATAATTGTTAAAATGGCCCAAAATATTTTATATTATAATTCTTATTTATTTAATACATCATTCTCAATACAATTATTATTAATATACTATAATTATTATATCATCAATATAAGTATGCATGAAGCAATTATGACGTCATGGTTTTGGACATGAAATACGAAATACTTTTGGAAAGCTGTCCTGCTGTGTGACATGCTTTTCTCGGTATTATAAACAGTATTTTGTGAATTAAATTAAGAAATATAATAGTTGTTAAAAAGTCAAAACACTATTTTTTTTAATAAATAATTATAATAATTGTTAAAATTACCCAAAAATGTAATATAATTAATATGTATTATACTTGTGTATTTAATACATAGTTGTCAATAATAATAATTAGTATTCATATTCAATATAAAAAATACATGAAGTTATGTCATAATTAATTTAGAAAGTTTTCCTGCTGTGTGGCATGCTATTCTTCGTCTAAAAGTATTTTTAATAGTATTTTGCTTATCTGTTAATAACAATAATAGATGTTTAATATAATTATCATTATAATATTTATATTTTAAGAATATTTTGATAATATAACCATTCTAATTGTTATTGCTTATTTAATAGTGGTTTTTAAATTATTTCAATTATAATTCATCTCTAATAGTATAGTTTTATGCATTAAAAAAGTATGTCTTCAAAGGGAACTTGTGGAGGCAGAAGTGATCAAAAATGGTGTAAAACTAAAAATAAAAAGAAGCCAGTCACAGGACCTTACACATTCATGTATATTTTAGCCTATACTCTTGATGTTGAAATTTTTTTTTTCATGTGTTAAGTACCCTTCTATGTACTTGACATTACTCATAGAGCCTCTCCTGGAACCATCTGATTTTTTTGCTTCTTATTTATTGTTTTCATGTGTGATATTTCCAGTATAATGAGTAAGAGGTGTCAGACGCTGCTGCTGCAGATCTACCTGCACTTCCCAGAGGTCATCCAGCACATCCGCCTACCAGAGGCCACCCTGAGTGCTGAGGGGGCAGCAGATGGCAGCACCTGCAAGGTAACCGCTGCAGCTTGGGACACCTCATGCCATGAGTTTCCTCTTAACAGCAGCTGAAAGACTAATACTCTGTTTATTTTCTGTGTTTATATGTGCACCTTCAGCTGGATGTTCTCGTGCATCGTCTCATCACTCTGCTAGCTGACACAGGAGACTCCAAATCAGCCGAGAACCGTGTGTCTGATGCCAATCTGGCCTGCAGGAAACTGGCCGTATCTCATCCGGTGCTTCTGCTCAGGTTTACTATGCAACAATTTTCTGTTCAGTCAAGTATTATATAATTGATTAATATTATTTTCCCTGCTCGCACAGCCTTGGTCATGTAGAAAAGTCATTTCTGAAATGGAGAAAATTATTACATTTAGATAAAAAAAAAAAAAAAAATGAAAACATTGTTTTAAAACATGTGGAAAAATTCTTCACATGCTTAAAGAGTTGGTTCACCCAAAAATGAAAATTCTGTCAGTAATTACTCACCCTAATGTCGTTCCAAACCCTTAAGACCTTCATTCATCTTCGTAACACAAATTAAAGGAACACTCCGACTTTTTGGGACTTTAGCCTATTCACCTTATCCCCCAGAGTTAGATAAGTTCATACATACCTTTTTCATCTCCGTGCGTGCTATAAGTCTGTTTGACGCACCCACCGCTAGCCTAGCTTAGCACAAAGACTGGATGTAAATGGTTGCAGCTAGCATACTAATCCAAATAAGTTACAAAATAGTGCAAACATTTTCCTATTTACATGTTGGGATTTGTATAGTCACAGAGTGTACAAAAAACAAAGTCACATGAGACACAGACATATTTTAACAGTATAAATACTGGGAACTATATTCTCTGAAGGCGAAGCACTGCTACTTGGGCGGAGTAATAACCGCAGCACCTGAGACTCTGGGGGATAAGGTGAATAGGCTAAAGTCCCAAAAAGTCGGAGTTTTCCTTTAAGATATTTTTGATGAAATCCGATGGTTTGGGGAGGGGGAGGGGGAGGGGGAGGGGGGAGGGAGGGGGGAGGGGGGGGGGGCTCCATTGATAGCTATTTAATTAACACTTTGAAGGCCCAAAAAGGTAGGAAAGACATCGTTAAAATAGTCCATGTGACTACAGTGGTTCAACCTTAGCGACGAGAATACCTTTTGTGCGCCAAAAAAACAAAAAAATCGACTTTATTTTGTAATTTCTTCTCTTCTGTATCAGTCTCCGACGCACGTTCAGGAGAGCACCACGACGCATGCGCGTGGTGATGACACACGAGCTGGCGTTCTGACATATGACCTACAAGCAGAGGAAGACGCACGCGAGGTCACGCATGCGTCGTGGTGCTCTCGTGAATGCGCGTCGGACAGTAAAATAAAAATAGTGACATTTATTAAGAAAGTAAATAGGGTTTACACACTAGAGCTGTTTGTGTTTTTCAGACACCTGTCCATGATCGCTGCACTCCTGCATGGGCGCATCCATCTGAACCTGCATGAGATCAGACAGCAGACCCATCTGACCTTCTTCGGTGATGTTCTGGCTGTCCTGGAGCTGCTGCAGCCGCTGGTTTTCCTCTCTGACCACCAGAGGGCACTGCAGGACTGTCTGCTGTCCTTTATCAAAGTACTGCAGGTATAAAGACCTCCTCTTGTAATGTACTATGCTGCACCACAGTTATCACTTCTTCTATTTAATATGCCATTAAGTTAAATACATAGTGACATTTAATTTTTGATAATGAAAATGTTCTTAGCACTATTGCAATCTCAAACTAATCTGCTAAATGAATATTAGTTTGTCATAATGAAACTGTACAAGCTAATTGGAAAGAATCTTGTGGGAATATTTTTTCAGCATTTTCATGTAACCTTCTTGCAGAACTTCAGAAGATCATCCCGTATGCCGATCATAAACAAATTTGTGCAGTTCATCCAAAAATACATAACCCATGATGCAGCATCCGCTGTGCCTTTCCTTCAGAAACACTCAGATGTGCTACAGTAAGAGCTTTTTTTTGGGGTTCACATCACTCTTTTCTGCTTCAGCAAATACTCACAGTTGGGTTTGGGCATTGTTTTAGATAATATTTGATCTATTCCGATTCCCATTCTAATGATCGATTCCGAGTTTTAGGTAAATAAACGTATTTATCAAACTTATTTATTCTGTCTTTTTGCAAGCTGCACCTGAATACCATGATATCAGTAGCCTACAGAATTAAAATTTAGGTTGGGTAGATTCTGGGTCTTAGCGCTAATTTGATAAACATTTTGTAAGCTTTATATTCTAATCACTGAACATTTGACACATTTTTGGCACATCCTTGCATTATTCTGGCTGAAGGTGACGCTCTAATGTTGATTGACGGGCACGCATAGAATGCTATCTTAGTGTTGCCTTAATGTAGTTTTTATTACCTCCGAATGTTATTTTAAAATTTTACAAGTTGTCGAGGAATTTTGGTGAGGAAAATAAAGTAATTTCTAATCTCATAACAAACATAAAGCAAACACAACAAAACTATATAAAGGCTATTCACATGGGCACATTTAAACTTGTATTAATCTGATACGAAGAATAGACATGGCGACTAGTTACTGACCTGATGCAGACTAATATAAACATAGCTAAAGCGGGTTAACCCCTTAAGTGTCACGGGCCCACCGGTGGGCCCAAATTCTTTACATTTTTAAAACAGTAATATCCTATACTAAACCTAAACTAATCTTGACAAACTATATATCATTTGAAAGCTTACAATCTCTAGTTTCCATATTTGGTGATTGATTTTCAAAATAAATTACAGAGGAGCCGTAATTTATCAATTTGCAACAATAATATTTTCATACTCTTAGACCTTTATTTTGAAATAGTGATGAACATGAAAAATCATGAAAGAAGGGTAGAAACCTCAGTTTGTTTTCATTCCAAGAGTTCAAAAGATAGCATCCATTCAATTATTAAAAAAAAAAAAGGTCTGAATTTTTTTTTTATATAAAGAAAAAAATTATATGATGTGGCAGGAAGCTAAAACGCACATGCGTGTTCTTTTTATGTTTCTTAGAGGTTGAAATCATATCAAAATCTGCCAAACTTCTCATATTACTTCTGAATAGGATGTCTACTTCATAAATTGTATGAAAATTGTGGAAATAATGGTTCATATCACTCAAAACACATATGGAAATGGAGGCGCCCTTATATGGGCAGTGATGGAGTCTGGTTGTCATCTAGTGAAAAAGTTTGGTACTGCGCCCAAACAAAATCTTACTGAAAGCTCATTTTTTGAGATATCAACCTACAATTTGAAACACAACTTGTTCAGATTTTTGGCTTTGATTTTTTTGCAGTTTTAGAGTCGCCCAGGTTTTGAAAATATATATTTTATATAAAATATGAATAATTAAAAATTTTACATTGTACATTTTCATAAACACAAACTTCTATAACTTTTTTTCTGTTTCACTTTCTTAATTTATTTCACTTCTACAAGAATCTGCCAAATGTCTTCTTTAAAACAAGACCAATCTTACGTCTATATTCCAAAGCATTCTTGAATTACAACCATTTAAGTTCGAAATGTGCATTTTCATGTATATTCAAAAAAAGGGGGGTGACACTTAAAGGGTTAATATCGTCTTGGTCTGGAGTGAGGTTTGAGGTAAGGTAACATGAACATAAGCGGGGCAGTTTGAAATCTGAGTGAGGGGAACTTAAATGTTTTTAATGTTTGTAAACATTTTGTTAGTACTGGTATTTTACATTATTTTTGAATGTAATAGCCTTATATATTGCCTAATTTATCAAAAAAATTCTCTCAACAATGATGTGACATACTCGGGTGCAACTTATTTTCTAAAAGGTAAATTATAAAATTGTGCTGTATTATAAAAAAGTGTTTTTACAGGGGAACATTTGCACCAATAAAGGCCAATTCACACCTCACAGACAAATGCCAACAAACACCAACAAATAATTGGCTTTTGAATTTTATGAAAAATATGTTGACACTGCCACAACAGACACCAACAAACACGGATTGAACATGGTCAGCCAGGTGAAAACAAACCCTGACCAACAGCATTGATCAGACAAAACCCAACTTTTGGTGGGTTGGTGTTTGTCTGTGCGGTGTGAATTGGCCTTATGACAAGCATATTGTCTTCATTACTCACCCACTTTTTGGGGCCAGGGGCCCCTTAAAGGGTAGAACATTTTCCAGGGACCCAGGGAAAATTATAACATCATTATGGAAAATGTTCTACCCTTTAAGGAGTCCCTGGCCCCGAAAAGTTTGAGAACCCCTGGCCTAAAGAACACTTGCACAATAACATTTTGCTTATGGTTTTCACAAAAATACAACAGACTGAACAAGAAATTGAAATTAGTGTAATCAAATGTAAAATAACACTGCATAGTTTTCTTTTTTTTATAAATAAAATATAGACGAATCCTTAATAAAGCTACAAAAGTTGTTCAGTCAAGATTTATTTTGTTCTTTAATTAAGATTAAGGACACAGACGACAAAGGAGTTACAAAGGTAACTCTGTAACAAAGGAGTTGATCATAGATTTTAATAAAAAGGGAATTGTAGTTCCACCCTCAAATATAAACGGGGTAGTGGTAGAGCGGGTCACAACATACACATATTTGGGTGTTGAAATAGATAATAAACTGACTTTTAATGAATGTGCACAAAATAAGTCCAAAAGGTTGCAGAAGAGGATGTTTTTTTTAAGGAAACTTAACCATTTTAGAATAGACAACTGTATTCTTCAGATGTTTTACAAAGCTCTCTTGCAGAGTGTCTTATCTTTCGGTCTTATTTGTGCCTTTGGTAACATGCACATTAAAGATCAGAATAAATTGCAACGAATCGTCAAAACAGCCAGCAAGATCATTGGAGTTGATCAAGTATCTGTAGCCCAATTGTACAATGACCTTAGTCTTAAAAAGACAGAACAAATTATAAATGATTCAACCCACCCTCTTCATCAGAATTTCTTAAGAAGTAACAGGTCAAGTGGTAGACTACTGCAAAGGAAAATTAGGACCACAAGGTACAGCAATTATTTTGTGCCTACAGCAATTAGACTGTACATTAATCAGCTAGCATTTAGCTAGTTTATTTATTCACACATGCTTGTCATGTTTCTATAATGTTTGTTGTTTTGTCCGTATTGTCTGTTTTTTTCTTCTTATGTTTTAATGTTTAAATGTTTTAATGCTTTTGTATTTATTGCTTTTGTGTTTATATTTGTATGCAGCAGGTTTTTTAACAGTGGAGCGTGTAATGGTGACCACATGAATTTCCTACTTGTGGATAATAAAGTTTACCTTGACAGCAGGGTTATTATGCTGCTGCCACTTTAAGACAAAATGCACAGATCCAATATACTGATACAAATGCGCTTTCTTTCTCAATTGTTTGCGTTCACTTTTGGGGTTCTCAGCTCTGGCCCTCAAGGTCCACTTTCCTGCAGAGTTTTTTTTTCAAACCCTAATCAAAACACACCTGAACAAGCTGATCAAGTTCTTTAGGATTACTAGAAAGCTACAGGCAGTTGAGTTTGATCAGGGTTGGAGCTAAACTCTACCGGAAAGAGTTGAGAACCCCTGACTCAAGACAAAACATATTGCATTTACAAGGATATTTTTGAATAATTTAGTGTGTATTTGTCTGTTTAAGCGCAAGAAGACATGAAAGAGAACTCAATGGGCTATATGCACGCATAACTTCCGCGTTTGATGCAAGGATGCTCTTGCGTTTCCGGTTGGGGATATTTAAAGCGGAGGAAAACAGAGGAAACTGGGATTATGGCAGAGTCTTCAAAATGTACTGTCCTCTCGTCTTTAAAACGAAACTTTAATACGTTTAGATGTGATTTTATATATAGTTGTGTTTATTTAATATAATAAACAAAGAAGCATAAACAAAAATGAGGGGTGTCTGTTTTTGTGACTAACGTTTCTTTAGTATAGCAATAGAGTATAAAAACCAATATAAATTCTCGGTATAGCATTGGACTCTACGATCGGCGGAAGTAATCCAGCATCCTTAGACCTTCACCGGAAATACCGCCGTGCATAGAGCCCATTCAGTATTCACGCTCTATATTCTGTGCGCCCGCTTTAAAGGTGTGCTCACAGTAAACAGTGGGAATTTACTTTCTTTTTGTAACTTATTTGTCTTGATTTAAAGAGTTTCCTTGTGTTTTTTTTCTCTCTCTCAGGGGACTATCCACTGAGAATCCAGACCTGGTGCAGCTCAAATCTTTGCTCGCTGGACTTACTCTGCCTGTGAGGTCTGGTTCCTCTGAGAGCGCTGCTGAGGACAGAGACGGTAGGGGCTCCAACACCTCACATCACAGGAGACAGAGTAACATGTGAGATGATCTTCACGAAGCCTGTCTCCCACTCTTTGTATTTCAGCAGAGGATTCGTCCTCAGGCTCCCTCTCTTTGGTCAACATCTCAGCCTCCATGCCTCTGACTGCAGCCGACATGACTAAATGCCTGAAGAAGATCTCCAAAGGAGAAGCAATTGAGGGTGAGAGAAATAAAACTGTTTCCAGACTACTTCCTGATACAATGTTCTTTAGCGGGGCTAACTTAAGATAGATAGGTCCATAGTAAACCAGTGCATGTTCTTCATCTTTTTATTTTATTTTTTATTTTGTGGCATATATTAAATAAAAATTGTTTAAATAAAAAAACTTTAATTAAAAGTAAATGTGCTATAGTGAGCAGAGAGTACTACACTAATGTTGGAAGCTCAAAGACAGTGTTTTTCAAAATAAAAAGGTTATCAAAGGTAATTCAATTAATAAAAAATGATAACAAACTCATTAAAATTTAGAAAGTTATGCAATCATTTTCTTATTATTATTTATAATTCCATCAATATTTATTATAACATCATTAAAATATAAATCTAAACATACAAAAAATAATATATATATATATTATATATATATATATGAATCCTTCCTTCAAAACTACAGTACTGTACAGCATTTGTACATTTTGTACAAGTGCCTAAAACTTTTCAAAGTGAGGATGATTTCAAAAATAATGTCATAAATAGATTTTATTTATCAATTAACTTCTATTAACTAAATCAAATCAATATCTGAAGAGTTTGGTTCCAAAACGCGATAAACGCCATTTTGAAAAAAAATTAGTTGCTGCAAAAATCAGTATTGTCTGTCTGGTTGGTATTGAAAAGTCAATGTTTAATTTTAAGTAAAATGCGATATCCGCTGTGTTATTCTGTCATGTTTTCTCCCTTTCTTTCCAAACCGCGAGAAACGCCAGTCTCCCTTCTCTGCAGAATGCGATATATCCGCTCTCAACCAATCACAACGCACCATTCCACGCAATGTAAACAGTAACGGAAGCGCTTTAAATACACCCGGCTTCCTAGTTTTTCTTATCTATTTTGTACTTTTCGATCAACAAACAAACAAAAAAATGAATAATTTTGAGGCATTGATGAACCTGTGGTTGTTTCTGCGGTGGGTAAGAAACGCAAGGCATCGAAATCGAATCATTTACGTGAGGAGATTAAGAAGATGAGGCACTCGGGAGGAGGAAAAATGTTTTCAATCTTCTTTACAGTTCTTAATAAAAATATTATACTAATAAACTTACGTTGTTGTGTATTTTCAACAGTTTCAATATGAAAAAAAAAACTTTTATATTGATTCAATGGATTAATTGCATTTTGATTTTTTTTTTTAATGGATTTATTGCATTTTGGGGAAAAAAATAATCCGTTTTTATAATAAATCTTTGAAAATCAAAACCTGGATTTTAATTTTTTTTTGTTATTATGACCTACAAATGCTATGTGAAAGTTTGAAACGGAAAATAGTGGTTTTTATCTTTCCACTTTCTTGGTAAAGAAAACACATTTTTACTCAAATTAATCTAAATGGATTTATTGCGTTTTGGAACCAAACTCTTCATTTGGTGTGACCACCCTTTGCGTTTTTTCGGGAGCTTTCCAGGAATGTTTCTTCAAGCGTCTTGGAGAAGTTGCTGCAGTTCTTTTGGATTTAGTCTGTCTCAGTTTTTTCTGTTTCTTCATGTAATCACAGATAGACTCGATGATGGTGAGATCAGATCTCTTTGTGGATATCTGTTTTCAGACTCCTTGTGCATACAAAAATCTCACTGGATTTAATATTGAATATATAATATTGCAATCAATGGCAAACTGTGACGCACTACATTAAAATATATAAATAACTGGCTCAAAACCTTTTTTGGGGGGGTGAAAAATACTAGCGTGCCTAAGATTTTGCACAGTACTGTGTGTGTATGTATATATATTATAAATATATATATAGTTTAGATTGAATGTATTCAATTATGTGCTGTTTTTCTTTTGTTCTAGATGTGTTTGACGGGTTGACTGAAGTGGATGAGAAATCCAAAAGAAATCCAGAAATCATTCAGTATTTTGTTGTAAGTACATTGCAAAATTGTACACAAAATTGCAAAAATGGACAAACATGAGCAAGATTCAACAAGTACAACCAACTTGTCATGTATTATCAGAATGATCTTCAGAGGTTGATGAGTTCCCCTGAGGAAGTGTGCCGCAACATGGCGTTCAGTCTGGCCCTGCGGTGCATCCAGAACATCCCCAGGTGAGATGCCTGCAGGGAAGTGTGTTACATATATTAAATCGAAATGTCATGTGCAAATACACTCACCATTACCTTTGTTAACTCTAGTATGGCTGCTGAATTCCTGCCAACGTTCATGTACTGTCTGGGCAGCGGCAACTTTGATGTAGTGCAGACGGCCCTGAGGAACCTGCCTGAATATGTGCTGCTCTGTCAAGGTACACAAATAGACGATGACCGTATTCATTAAGAAACCACTATAATTGTTTTTGTTGTTGTTGTTGTAATAATTATCATTTTTTGCAGGTTCAAAACGATTTTAAGCTCTATTGGCAGCATTTGTCACATGCTGTTGATTACCTTGAAAAATGTTTGACTCACCCCTCAGTTATTGACATATACGTTATTTAAAAACACTTACAGTGGAAGTCTTAAGGCACGTTCAAACCAAGAATGACAACTATAAAGGTAGCGGTAACTATAGTAGTGTCCACACCAACAGACGATATTGTTCTGTTTATTATAACCGCACGCTTCAGATTTGCCGTCTACCCCTTTAAATGCTCAAGCTCTTTAAAGCAGGAAGGATTCTGATTGGCTGTCAATGATCAGCTGAAAAAAACCTCATTCTTAAAGTGATTCCAACGATATCGTTCCCCTGTGCAGTTATCGTTACAGTTTTGATGTGGACTCTGCTATTCTTTTATATTTAGAAGCATTTTTAAGCACTTTTAAAACGATATCTTTATCGTTATCATTATCGTCCTTGGTGTGAACGGGCCTGTAATTTGGGTATGTGTGTGTAAATCTGTGATAATGGACTGCATGCTGCCATGGATGTTGTTATTAGTGCTCAACTTTAATTTAAGGAAATATCTCTGTTTTGTGTTTCCCAGAACATGCTGATATTCTCCTCCATAAGGCATTTTTAGTGGGCATCTACGGTCAGATTGACACCAGTTCCATGATAGCAGAATCCATGAAGGTCTTACGCATGGAGGCAACGACATAGATGTCACTTTAAACATGTTAGTACACAGTTTCGCTTTAAGTCAGAAGTGTCATGCACTGTTGATCCTGTTCAGATATAGCATTCCACGTTCACATTTCTTGAAATGCCTCAAATAATGCAAAGTAATTTAGTAATATTCATGTCTGCTGGGAGTAAAGCCTGTCATAATTAGTTTTGTCTTCTGCTTTGAATAATAAAACTATGACTTGTAGAAATGCTCAAATTGTTTTTAGTTTTGTTTTACTTCGTTTCCCTCTCTATTTCTCTTTTTTTTTGTAACACTTCATTGTAAAATAACTCTTTCCATAGCAGTATAGGGGAAGGCTGTGATCTTTCTCCTTTGCATGATTGCAAATGAGTGAGTCTGTGCTTTTTGCCCCCTCCTTCACATTTGATCCCTGACAGATCTCAGCTATGCTGTGAATGCTGTGATGGAAAGTCTATTTGCCATGAAAGTGCAAGTTGTTCTTGTCCAGTGTCACAGATTTCATCTGTATGGAGACGAGAAGAGAGAACAGCGCGCCGGCATGCCGGTGAGAGCCGATCTCAGCCACGGCTAAATTAACCGTGGCGGTAATTGTTCAATCACACAGACCGAAGATCCCTGTCTGAAGAGTGCATGAGGGCAGGCTCTTCAGAGCCCGGTCTGAGAGTGAGTGTGCGGGTGTCTGGTTACACTGGGGTCTGTGGAAGCGGGTTATCTGTGTTTTGTAGAGGGCGATCGGTGGACATGCCCGCACTGGTGGCTGGAGGACTGACAGGCTCTCAGCGAGCGCGGCAAAGTCCGCCTGATGAAAGGTGTGTTCAGTTTCATGCTCTCTGCTCTGCTTTTAACATGTCATAGAAGAGATGAAGATTCACAAATTCCACTTATTTGTTTTTAACTCTGCCTGGTATTTTCCACAAATAGGGTACAGGAAGGTTCCTCCCTCCCACATCCACTTAAGAACAGTGTACATTTACAGCTAAATTAGTTACATGTGAGTTTGGCATGTACAGGAGGATTATTAGTATTAACAGACAAACATTTGCCTAACTCATGCAGGCTTTCTGGGTCTTAAAAAGGCCTTAGTCTTAATTCACTCTTACTCAAATGAAGGCCTTTAAAGGGTCTTAAATTAGAGCGAAAAAAATTTGTGATTTTTAATCGTGTTTTCTGATACAAATATCTAAACATCTTGAAATCAATATGCATTTACTTGAGATGCAAATGTAAAATGAAGTCTTGAAAAACTGAACAAAATTAAGTGAGTTTATGGTTAAAACAAATCAAATATCTGAGTTGTGAAAACTTTATTTTAAATTAAGTTGATTTTTCTAAGCCCATTGGTAGATATTTGTTCTTGTTTTAATCTTAAACTCACTTCAGTTTGGCCAATTTCTCAGACTTCATATTTTATGTCATTTTGTATCTCAAGTAAATGTATCATTTAAGAATCTTTAGATATTTGACAAAAATACTGAGGAAGAACATCACTTTTTTTTGCAGTGCGATCAGAAAGTACAGTAAACGTTATTTCCATAATCTAATGGTTAAGAGCAGATTCAAGCTACTTTTTTGTAAAAAAAAAAAAAGTTACAGATATCTTTTGGAAGTCTTATTTCCAAGCTCTGAAATGTTGCTAACATAACTCATTGTGTTTCTCTACACTACATTTAGAAAACATATCGATGTATTGTTTTCTCTTTACTTTCCTAAATTTAACCTACAGAAACCCTGCTGTTGTAGCAAGTGCCAAAATTCGTAAAGTAGAGAAAATGTGACATTAATAAATGCTAAAATGCTATTTAATAATGACAGACAAATGAAATAGAATTACAGTAAAATAGAAGTCTTATGCAATAGATACGTCTGAATTGGTAAGTAATATTGTGAAGTATTATTGGGTTTCACTTTATTTCGATAGTCCACTTTAGATATTCTACTGACTATAAGTAACTTTTCAACTATATGTCATCTAACTGTCATTAGAGTATTAGTAGACTGTTAGGTTAGGGTTCGGGTTAGGAGAATAAGTTGACTTGGAGTTGCCAAGTTACTTATAGTCAGTGGAGTGTCTGTTGGAGGACCAACAAAATAAAGAGTTAGCAGATATTAAGCAGACAGTCTACTAATACTCTAATGACAGGTAGTTGACATGTAGCTGCAAAGTTACTTATAGTTATAGTTATTAATATACTCATTATTCCAGTGTTCAGTGTCACATGATCCTTCAGAAATAATTATTATATGCTGATTTAATGCTCAAGAAACATTTTTTCTTATTATCAATGTTGAAAACAGCGGTGCTGCCAATTTGTGTGGAACATTTTGTGATAGATTTTTTTCAGGATTATTTGATGAATAGAAAGTTCACAAGAACAGAATTATTTCAAAATATATTTCTTTTTTTAGAATTATTTCTTTACTCTCACTTTTGACCAGTTTAATGCATACTTGATAAATAAAAGTATTTATCTTACTATTATTAGTATTGGTATTAAAAATCTTACTGACCTTTTTTATTTTTGAACTATAGTGTATAACTACCCTTAATTAATAATTACGGGACATTTAATAAGGGTCTTACCCTCAGGGTCTCACTTTAAATTTGCATTGTAATAATAAAAAAATGTAAAGTTTAAAATGATATGCTAAATGAAATAAATGTCCGCAAGTCAACAAAGTAGTTAACAAATTGACATAACCTTTCATTTAACAAATAAAAGCACAGATCACTTTTACCTGATGACCGTTTTTAAGCGTATAAGCTTATCAATTACAAACCATAATTTGATCTGAAACCATCTCATTCCACCGGGTAAAAGCTTATTTTAGGCATTTTTGTTTTGACTTTTGTTTTGTTGTTTTCAAATTGCAAACCTTATTGAAAACAAATAGAAACAAGGTTGACAGTCAACATTTAATAAAGGATAAGCATCTCCTTTCATCGACTTGGAAAAAAATGTAGGCCCTATGTTTTACTCTAATCATACAAAGTGCCATCCCTTTGATTTGTTGTGCCAAAGAAAATTGCTGCCATTCATCTTAACCTTCACATTCTGTGATAAATTAGGCAAGAAAACACCTTACTGTCAGTTAATTGTCAGAACACTTGTTCAAATTTGTACTTTTTTGATTTGTGCGTAAAGGGTAGATGTCATAATTGTCTTTTCTGTGTTATGACTACTTAACGCTAATTTCCTTGGAGATGCTGTAGTCTATACACCATCATTTGTCTTGTGTTGGATGTGCTTGATCAGTCTTAATTGCACCTGTAAGGTGTCACGTAGCACAGGTTCCTTTCAGAAGAGCTGTTAGTGGAGTTTCATCGGCTCAAGACGCCATAACTGGCTGTGCTTTTGGTCAGATTCCCAGGCTGGCTCGCGCTGGGGCGGAACGGAGATGAGTGACAGCATGGGTGAGGTGTGACTGTGATGAGCCACTGACACATCGATAACCACAAACCTTTTCATCAGGCATGCCCTCGCTGCTCCGTAAAACAGCTGCACTGCAGTGTGTTGTGTGTTTTAACTTTGTTATAGTTTTTGTCAGGTATATGATGGTTCTCTGCTCCTGTAGCTCTAAAGTACACTCTTAAAAACAAAGATTCCAAAAAGGGTGTTTCCACCGCGGTGTCACAGAAGAACCATTTTTGGTTCCTCCAAACGAACCTTTTCAGTGGGAGAATTTTTTTTTTTTTTTACTGTGAAGAAACTTTTAATAATCTAAAGAACCCTTTTCAGCTATAAAGAACAGAATGGAAGGGTTCTATAGATTTTTAAGCTTCTTCATGAACATGCTAAACATTTTCTTAAGCTCTAACTTCACTTTTCGTACCCTAATGGTCCCAACAACACTGTTTTCAACTAAAATGAACACTTTTTGGTGTTCATTTACACGACTATGGCGTTTAGGGGGGCCTGAAAATGCAAACTTTTGAAAACAGGTTTCAAAGTGCATTGAAAACGGTAGCGTTATCGTCTCCATGTAAACTTCAAAAACACAAACTTGTGAAAACGGTGACGTCATGCGCATGCACATTACGTGTTCAGTCCCAAGGGGGTAATCCATCAACCGGAAGTTGAAGCCGGCCGGGTGCCGCCATCTTGTAGCAGAACTTCACTTGCGTTAGCAATTCCATTGACTCCCATTCATTTTGGCGTCACTTTGACAGCGAATAACTTTACATCTGAGGCGTTTAAAGACTCCATTTGTCCATTATCTATTTCTAAAGAAACACGACAATGTATAAAGGGCTCCATTATGGCCCTGTAGAAACAGTTTTTGTCAAAATAGGCAAACGATTGCGTCATAACCACTCGACTCTGTCGCGTTGTACAGAAATTACCGTACAGACAGGAGGAGAAGCTCGCAGGCAATCGGGGGGACGTCCCGTCAAGGGAGAAGCCCATAGATAATGAGTCCATAAAAGCAACGGAATTCTAACTCCTGCTCACTCACGCCAAATAACTCTTTGCTCAAGTTCCCCGTCTCTGCAAGATTAACGTTGGCAATTTTCACGCACAGCTACTAGAAGAGTAACGTCTGTCAGACAGGTTGCTCACGTCATCAAGCTAAGTTTGAGTCGGTTTGAGTCTGCGCGTCAGGAACGGAAGTGCTCAAAAATCGCTAAAAATGGGCTTCAACTGTCTCAACTGAGTTCCAATGAGATGGCTCTGTCCACTGTCTATAGGCGCGTAGTGTTTCTTTACAAAGTGACATCGCCAACTACTGGCCTGGCATGAATAATATAGCGTTTTTAATCGTTTTCACCGACGTATCCGTGTGAACGGGGATTGTTTTGACGATGTTGTCCCACTCTGTAACAAATTCCCAAACTTTTATTGTTGTGGCAGAAACTCTTTTTAACCATGATTTAATTAATTGTGCTGGTATAGCAACATCTCCACAAGTACCAGCAGGTGACCACTAATAAATGTAGAGAGCCACAGTGGAGCAGAGAGGAGTGAAGCACTGCTTGTGTCTCACCTTTGGGAGGGACAGAGATGTGCCAGTACCTGCCTGTGCACACCTGTCGGCTCTGTGTTCCTCAACAGCTCCTTCGCTTAGATCATCTCCTCTTCCTCCACGCATGAGTTGTGCCTGGCTAGCGTGGAAAAAATGTGGACCGGCTCTCGCCTCCCTTTTCCCTTGCGCTTTGAAGTGTAAAGTGTGATTGCTTTTGGATCGCGGCCGCTCCCCTTGAAGGTTTTGACATGAAAAGCAGCCTGGGCTCTCAGGTTTA